CAGCCTTCGCACAACAGGAAATACCAAAGCTTAAGAAACTCTCCGCAGGCCCTTAAAAGCCGGGCAAGCCATTTAAGATTCAAGGCTGGAGGAGCCAGAGGGCCAGAACAGAAAAGGGTACACAGGCACAAAATGACAAAACTGAAGAGAAAGAAAACACAAGAAGAGTCACACAATCCCATGACAGGATCAGCCTCTTTGAAATGTGTTTACAGACTCCATTTTTGCAACATGAGCAAAGAAAATATTGGGAAAGAAGATGCCAGCAAAGTTTGTGGCTACAAGGGAAGGAGGAGCAAAAAAGGAATCTTTTGGTACAAAAGAACACTGGTCCAGGAAGGTGGTGTTCTCTGTCCCCTCTTTCTCATAATAAGGAAAGGACTAACTTTAAACAGCAGAGAGAGCCCAGTCAAGTCCCCAGAAGACCAGCTTTTGAACCAGTCACTGCAATTGAAGCAGACATCTGCAGCAATTAGCCAATGGTCCTATTTAGCTCCATTCCAAGAAAAGGCTCCAGTGACAGACTCCTGCTAAAGGCACAGGAGCAGGCCGGGCTGGTTTCTTTTTAACCACTTCCCCCACCCCCAGCAAGAGAAGGGGCTAGTCAACTGCACACCAATGTCAAGAAGCACCCTTCCTACGCTCGAGTGGGGTTTTTGCTTCTAGTCTTCAGAACTGGTGAAGTAGGCAGTTGTGTGCTTGTGGAAAGGCACGTCCTGTCTTTTCCAGGGGAGCACAGCTCTCTGAGGGTCGCTTTTACATGTTTATTAACTCAAGTGGGCTACAAGGCAAAAGTAGCTGTGGGCAAATATTGTTGCTATAATTTTCACTCGGTTTCTCTCTAGTCCATAAAAGTTTAGCCTGGAATAAAATGTTGCTAGTCATTATGGTTCCAGGAGACTCCGGTGTCTTCTTTTGTAATTCATTCCTGTCAGTCCCCTTTTTCTCTCTATCCCTTGTAGCTTTTACATGTTTCCACAGCACTGTCTCTCTGAACCGCACAGCATATACTCTTCTCTTCTCTCAACAGTGGGAGGGCTCCTAGTGTCCTGGCCCCACTGGTGGACCTCCTGATGGCACCTGGTATTTCTGGCCACTGTGTGACACAGAGTGTTGGACTGGGTGGGCCTTTGGCCTGATCCAACATTGGCGTCTCTTATGTTCTTATGTAACCCTCTCACAGTTATCCTCCCTTTTCTCCTTGCACCCCCCACAACACTCTCCTTTTTTTCTTCCTGCACCTGTTCCCCAATTTTTTTTTTAAATCCTGTCTACTCCACAGGTCCCTCTGAATGCCTTTTTCTCAGCTCCCCCATCTTTTTGCTCTTTACCCACAGGACTTTTCATGTCTCGTGTAAGCCTCCTCTTTTGGCCCTCCACCACAGAATGTGTTCTCTTCCCCACCCCCCCAACATCAGTGTCATCCCACTCTTCTTTCCTCATCCATCTTTCTTCACCCCTACAGCTCAGGCCCCCCTTTCCTCTTCCTCCAGCTTTTTTTTTTGGGGAGGGGGGTTGTTTGTCTTTCATCCTCACTGAATTTGCCAGCAGCAGTAGCAGAAAAGACTGGATTTCACTCTCCCAGCCTTAGAAGGTGTCCTGGGCACAGCTGAGATTTTGTATCATTAGACCTAGCCACTTGGGATGGGCCACTCATGCCAACTGGCTGTCCCAGATCTAATCATTTTACTTAGCATGCTCCCATCCAATGCTCCCTCTAAGCTGTGAAGTCTTGTGAGCAAAAATTCTATTTTGTGAGCTACTAGCATTAAAGTTGTGAGCGAGCTATTTGGCTACTGCATAAATTAGTTGGCTCTGGAGCCATCCTTCCCGAGCTAAGACAAAAATGTGTGAGCTGGAGGCTAAAAAACTGTGAGCTAGCTCACACTAACTCAGCTTAGAGGGGACACTGCTCCCATCTAGCTATCCCTCCACTCAATTAATGTCAATTACTCCTGCTTGTCACACCAGCAACCCTCATTCTCCATCGCATCTTGTACGCTGCATGGTTTATAATCTACCAGCGGTGATCGGAGGGTATGAATCCAGAGAAGCCCGTCCCTTGGGCTTACTAGCATACTATTTGTTCATTTACTTCATTTATAACCTGCCCTTCTCCCCCAATGGGGACCCAAAGCAGCTTACATCATTCTCCTTGCCTCTGTTTTATCCTCACAACAACCCTGTGAAGTAGGTTAGGCTAGAAGTATGTGACTGGCCCAAGGTCACCCAGACCTTTTCTGTACAGTGGGCTTACTACTCATTTCCGGGAAACAGAATTCCCATGCTGATGCTTTGAATTTGCTGCACCCATTCCTCGAAAGGACATTTCTTTTGGTGTTCTTCTTTGTGAATCTGCCCCAATCTTGCTTCATCTATACTGCCCTTCCTTGGAAAAGAGAAGGATTGATTATTGCGTAACTTCACTGAGGGCACCTCCTTTCCCCCCCCAGTGAGCTTCCATAGCAGAGTGGGGATTCGAACCTGAGTCTCTCAGATTCTAGGGCAACAGTATAACCACTACACCACACTACAAGACTGGTCTTAGGGCTATGTCATAAGGATACTAGAAACTGAACATCTATAGGCTTCAATTTGGGGCGAGGAGGAGAGGAAATATGCAATTAGGATTATGTCACTTGCAAGTAG